TACTATACTATATGATACATTGGTTTATATATGGATTTTCTTGGTTAGTACATCCACTGACTGTGAAATTACAGTGGAACATCTTCCCACAGTGGGCAAACTGCTTGTTTTTGTAGCTAAATGCTACACATGTAAGCCTTTTTACTGTGTGTCTCTGTGGGAGTGGGGAGTACCAGCATGGTAGACAGTGGCTTCACTTTTTTCAGGCGATCCAGTGAATAAATAGAGATCAGGTTCTACCCATGTTTCTAGTTGAGGAGGATCATGCCTGCACTCTGGCTTTACTTCTCCTGCAAATACCAGGGAGGCTCTGCTTCACATTGAACAGGAGCACCCTCTAGTAGACAGTGGCAACACTGCAACATACAAAAAAACTCTCCCTTATGTGGATGTTATCAGTTAATTGGATGGAATAAATGTTAATCTAATGAAACATTAATCAATTAATTAAAATTTGATTTCTTGACATCCCTGATAGCTATATATTTTCCATTTGGAAATCTAAAGAAGGGATAAAAGCTTGCAAATCAACCATTCATTTAAATTAATAATAAAAAAAAAAAAATAGTAATCAGGATAAGGAACCCTGACAAATTTTAGGGTGGAACATTTTAGGGACACCAACCTTCACCTTCTACTCTGTTAATGTCCCATCAGATCTCTCATTCTCTTGAAGCAAATTGGTCAATATTTCCCTATATCATTTCTCTGAATGTTCACATTAAAATCAAACACAGAATGAAGGTAGAAACAAGGTCCTTTAATATCATCATACTTACAGAAAATAAAAAGGTTAAAAGTGATTTTAATTCACCGAATTAACAGAAGCATAAAAAAACACAGATTTTTATGTAATTAAACTTCTTAAAATCATTTTTTTTTTTACCTGCATGCACCGGTCTTCTTATAAGGTAAAAAAAAAATGATTATATGGCAGAGAGACAACTTTACACAGCAACAAATATAACCATACCATTATATAGAGTTATATGGAGATTATATTCATTTGTAGTTAAAATAACACCAACATAGCGCCTCAACAGCAGAGGATCAGAGCATCATGAGAACACTGGATTCTATATTTACTGAAATTCTTATTGACATCTAATCACATTACAGTTTGACATCATTGCTCCACGTGAACCTTTATCTACAGGATGATTTCTCAAAGGAAATCAAACTAACCTCATTTATATAGAGAAAAACATATTTACAGTTGTGCAAAGGTGAGGACAGCAAGGAGCCAGCAGGTTAAAGTAGAAACTGAATGGAAGAAAAGATCCTTTAAAATCAAGGCGGAATCTTAAAAAAGCAAAACAAAAAAAACAAGTAATGTAACATGGAGCAAGCTGTGGAAATGCTTAAGTGGATCTGGATTCACGTCTGTCACTGCTCGTCTTTGATGTTTTAATAAACCAAACTTTGATGGCAGAAAAAAGAAATATCCACGAAACAGATAAGCTATTTTAACCATCAAAAAGAATCATCTATCAAAAAGAATCAACCATCAAACTGAACTTTTTTTCTCTTTGTAAAATAAGAGGCTTGAAATTAGTTTTATTTGAGGGAGAAAAAGTTTAATCAAAGTAATAGAGCCAACTGGTACATGATGATTCTTTAACATTATATCAAATTCATTTTGGCCTGTTTCTTCTTGCTAAATTGTTTTCATTTAGTGGTTGAGGGTTTGATTGCATGAGTAGCCTGTTTAGAGTGATTATTCCCCCGCATCTCAGCTAAATACTTTAACTAGGCCATTCTAAAACCTTTAGTTCCTTTTACCTTCGGAGGTTTTACAGATGGTGTTTTGTTTGTCTGTTTTTTTCAAATGCTGTATATTTACATCAGATGTAACAACCGTTAGGAACGTTGGCGGCTAACAAATTTCCCCTTGGACACCAGTACCATGGCGGCCACTGTTGAAATGTGACATCCACTGCAAAACTGATTTAGAATTAGTGGGTAACTGTATTTACCCTCAATTAAATAGGTTAATATGAAGATTTGCAGACAAAATGAGTTCATTGACCATAAAAATTCAATAATTATACATTATGTACTTGAAATAGGACAATATTTTGCAGTCACACTGGTTGCAGTGTGTATAGAGATTCCTGCTATGCAGGTTGAGCAGATCATGATCTGTGCAGATTTTTTCACTTCTTTCTATGTCCCCAT